CCCATCAGTTAATTAGGTTTTAAAACTGAATAATTATCTTTAGATAGTTCTCATTATTATTAATAAATAATAATATATCTTGAATAATTAGGATTTATTTATTTTATGGGTAATTAAATAATATTTTTGTCCTTACTCTTATGTATATATTCTTAACATAATTTTCACTTACAAATTTATTTAGATCGATCAGTTTGTACGGAATTATGTGATACAGTAGTCAGATCTGAAAATTTCTTAGGATATTTTATTGTTACCGTGGCCAATAATCCATGCCAAATTTGATCAAGTAATTTTAGTTGAAATATTAAGCGTTAACTACAAAAGGCATTATCGAGGTTTTTACCAGTTATGTTTTCTACCTACGTTTCGAACTATTTATTTCCTACGTATTATTCTACCTAGATTTGGTTTGTACCTACCCATCAGTTAATTAGGTTTAAAACTGAATAATTATCTTTACAAAGGTAGTTCTCTTATATTTAATAAGTAATAATATATCTTGAATAATTAGGATTTGTTTATTTTATGGTTAATTAAATAATATTTTGCTCCTTACTCTTATGTATCTATTCTTAACACATTTTCAACTTATTGTTTTTATTATTATTTGTAAAGTGGTTAAATCTGACAGCTGTATGCTATAGTGGTCGATCTTAACAATTCGTTCGAAGTCACATCTAGCAATAATCCATACTAAAAACTTCCATACAAAATTTATTTTGATCGGTCAGTTTCTATGATAGCTGTTTAATATAGAGGTCTGATATGAACAATTCGTTCGAAAATTGTAGCGATATCTTGGACAATCATCATCCATGCCATATTTCGTGAAGATAACTTGTCATAAACAATTTTTCCATATAAGAACTTTATTTAGATTGTCAGTTTGTATGGCAGCTATATGCCATTGTGAGAAATCAATGCCGGGTTTCGTGAGATATTTATCTAATGAACAAATTTTCCATGCAAAACTTGATTCCGATCGTTCAGTTTATATAGCAGCTATATACTATAGTAATCCGATGTGAAAAAATTTTGAGATGCATTACTCTTCTAGCAAAAACTTATGCCAAATATTGTGAACATACCTCGTCGAATGAAAAAGTTTTCCATGCAAGTACTTTATTCCGATCGTTCAGTTTGTATGGCAGATATATGCTATAGTGATCCGATCTGAACAATTTCTTCGAGATTGCATTATTCTTCTAGCAAAAACTCATGCAAATATTGTGAAGTGAACATACCTCGTCAAATGAAAACGTTTTCCATGCAAGTACTTGATTCCGATCGTTCAGTTTGTATGGCAGATATATGCTATAGTGATCCGATCTGAACAATTTCTTCGGAGATCGCATTACTTCTTTTAGCAAAAACTCATGCCAAATATTGTGAACATACCTCGTCGAATGAAAAAGTTTTCCATGCAAGCACTTGATTCCGATCGTTCAGTTTACATGGCAGCTATATGCTATAGTGATCCGATATCGGCGGTTCCGACAAATGAGCAGTTTCTTGGGGAGAAAAAGAAGTGTTCAAAATTTCAGTTCGATATCTCAAAAACTGAGGGACTAGTTCGCGTATATACAGACGGACAGACGGACATGGCTAAATCAACTCAGCTCGTCCCGATGATCATTTATATATATACTTTATATGGCTCCGACGTTTCCTTCTGGGTGTTACTTCGTGGCAAAATTAATATACCCTTTCATTCTTGAAGCCACTATTTTGAGTGGAAAATTTCAAGGTGAAGTTGTACTTCTGCCACGGATTCCAATGATTTCTTCAGTTTCGCCAATATTAATAAGGCACAAGGTCAAACAATGACGATTTGTGGATTAGATTTAGAAAATCCGTGCTTTTCCCACGGCCAATCATACGTTGCGTGCTTGAGAGTAGGAAAACCGAATTTATTTGCTTATACCTCTCAAGGATTAACCAAAAATATTAAACATCTTATGGCATTACGTTAACGTCAGTTTTTGTAGATAATTAAATCTAAGAATAAATGACGTTATATATTGTAATAAGTTTCTAATAAAAATTTTAATCAAAACTTTCTAATTGTTACAGCTAATTCAAAAAGTTTTAACACGTGGGACAACGTCTGTCGGGTCCGCTAGTGTATATGTAAATATTACATTTCTTCAATCACGGTTGATGTTCCCCTGCGCACAATGCAACTTTTTTATACTTTTGCAACATGTTGAATCGGCTAACGGTGGTTTGTATCACCTAAAACTTATCGAGATAGACATAGGGTTATGTATATATAAATGATCGGGATGACGAAAGGAGTTAAAATTCGGATATCTGTCTGCCCGTCAGTCTGTCTGAGTATCCGTCTGTAACTTGAGTTAAAATTAAGATATCGTAATGAAACTTGATACACTCGTTTTTTTGAAAAAAGATAAAAACAAGTTCGTAGATGGCATAATCGGATCATTGCCACGCCCACAAAGCCCACAAAGCGTCATTAAAAGAAAACCTATAAAATGCCATAACCAAGCACTAAATTAAGATATAGAACAATAATTTGGCACAGGGGATTGAAGTAGCAAGGGTCTCCTGACCGTGACCGCGTGGCGTAATGTACATATATCGCAAACCCTTCAAGCTAAAATAACCAAATTCGCTCAGGACAAATCCCTTAAGCACTCCTACCATCATTGTAAAAACTCCCCATTTAACGGTACTGTTAAAAACTACTAAAATCGCGATAAATCAATGACTGAAATAGTGCCTTTAAGGTTCGCCACCTTATGACCAAAAATTGAACCGAAACTGTTCAAGCCCCTAGGTACGGAATATGTGGAGCCCAGTACCTATAGTTGACTTTTTACCGAAAATATCGGTCAATGTGTGAGATGTATAATTGAAATTCAGAGAGGATCCTTTTCTAATAATAGTATTTCTGTATGTCAAAATGGGTTGAATCGGGTCAATACTTCCCATAGTACTCATATACCTAATATAAAAATTTTTGAATTTCCGGATGACTTTATACCGCATGTATCACCCCCATATAACTAATATCAGGATTTTCGAACATCCGGTTGACTTTACTCCATATGATTGGTGATGGTATGTGAGGTACCTTAATAAAACCCTGAGATCATTTTATTTGTCTGTGGCATGTTAGTAGTATGTAGTATTGGCAAAAATTGATAAAATCGTGTCAATACTACCCCAAACTCCCATATACTACTTATAATGATTTTCGGTATTCTAACTAGTTTTATGCCGGTCAGTGAGTATTACTTATATATAAAATTTCTTCAAGATATGTTCTCGAGTTTACCTTAGCGATGTCAAAACTAAACCTGTCCCTTTCTCTATCCCCAATATACCCCATAAAATGATTTCCGTCTTTCCACCAGTATTTAAACCGTTCACATTGGTCAAAATGTGTAATATTTTAATGAAACTAAATGAGCAAGTTTTCTTAAAAATTATGCGGTTTAGCGCTGAATTAGAATGGAATTGGTCTATATATTGATCTAAACCTCATATTCCTTATATACTGAATTCCGATCCTTTGGTGGACGTTTTCCATATTAATCAATGTATTAAATTTAGCCTCTTCGGTCGAGTTAATATCACATACATATGGTATATCTTATGTGAAGGTGCTTTCAATATAATTTTAGCTGACGCCAACTCAAATATTGCAATAAAACTAAGTCTAAGTTTGTGGCCTGCAATATAAGTCAACAATACAAGTATGCCAAATTTTATTGTAATTTAACTTCAACACCTGACGGAATTTCCCTAGCTTTGATTCTTGAAAGTTGCAAGAGTATAAAATGTCCAGTTACACCCGAACTTAGCCCTTCCTTACATGTTTCAATGTGTGTTTTTGAAAGTAAGGGTTCGACTGTAGTACTGCTGTCTGCAGTCTGTCCCTTGTTGTATTTAGCGACATACTCGTATCTAATCCCTTATTAAACGAAATTATTGTAGATCCTCTTAGACTGAGCGGTGGTTTCTACTCAAAAAGAAAACAATTGATGTTTCCTCACTTTTAGATGTCACGTGTTCTCTCTCTTCCTGGCTTGTCATGTACGTTTGCAGTTTCTTCATACAGGTCAGACCACTTTTTCACAAATGTACAACTCGTATTTATGCAGGTTATTTTAATAGTCCATTTGGGACCTTAAGCATGATTCGTTAGCTGCAATACAAACTGATCGATAAAACTCAAGTCCTTGTATGGAAAACTATCTTATTTGTCAAAGTAGATATCTTTCCGAAATTTGGCACGGATTATTATCTAAGGCAACGGTACAATCTTCAAAGAAATTGTTTACATCGGTATTTGCTTGAGTTAGGTTTTATAAGTATCTATGTCTAAATTTATGTGTTGCAAATATTTGTTATATGGGAAGTAGGTATGGTTGGGGTCTGCTTATAAATTTTTTAAGCTGGAATGAGAGTATCAAAGTGAGCGGTGCTATACCCATAAGTTCGATTTTTGTATTTACTAACCAATTTTGAATGAATGTTATTTGTTTTAAGATTATTACATGTTAAGAAGTTTTGAACAAATATCGAGGTGGGGTTAGTGATTATGTGAATTTGATTAATTTCTCACTAAGTGTAGTTGAGATAGCTTAAGAAGTGTATAAGATTTCTGAATTAATAACATTAGGCTTAGATGACGCCGCGTTATCCACTCTTCATATATTAAAACCATATATTCCTCTCCCATCTGCCCTTTTAACTCTTGTAATGTAGTTCGTTACAGAGTTGTAACATTTAGCGCGTGCATAATAAAGTACACATTGCAATAAAACATTTTTATTCTATGCATAAATAAAGCTGGTTTTAGTTTGCACTACTGATGGTAAGTAAGTTCGCGTTTTTTTACCGAACATTTTTTACTAAGAATTTGATTTTACTTCTTTTCTTTTAATTATACTGAAATAATATTATTGAACCTCACCTAACCAAAAAATACTGTTAAAATAATTTATGTGTGTTTTTTTTTATTGCAGTACTTACTATGGAATTATGTCAAGATATACTGGTGTTGTGGTAACTACGCATACTTGCTTTGGTTCCCTATATACATACATACATAAAAAACAAAACACCACATTGAACAAAAGATTTATAAGAAAAACAATAATACTAATACTCTTAATAGAAGATAATATAATAAAATGAAACAATACACATAATAACGGTAAATATAATTATATAATTGAAAGAAATTAAACAAAAATTATTAAAAATTAACAAACATAAAACTAACTGAATAAATGTAAAATATCCTATATTAAATTACTACAGTTCGCAAGGGACGATATATGATTAAAAACTAGTGGATATTTCAAAATACCAATAAAATCAAACCAAGTTGTATAGGATTATAAAATAATGTATTGAATGTTAGAATCGTCAAAGTGGCAACCCACACATTCAGTCAGATTAATATATATCTAGGGTTTATGAATTTTTGATGATGATTGGCATTTTCATACTTTGCTGTCAAATGTTAAGTATGATATACATATAAGAAGGAAAATTCAACAATAACTTTTGTTTAAATTAATGAACATCAAAATATTAGTTTAGATGTTAAACGAATTTTTTAATAAAAATATGTACATACAACTTGTTTTTACTTTTGATCACCTCAGTTTAGAAGAAGCATGGAAGAGCTAAGTTTGCGTGTAACCGAACTTTTTACACTCTCATAATTTGAGAGAATAGTGTTAGAGATTGAACTGCTAGTCAGCCAAGAACTCGATCGCAAATCACTTCAAGTGTCAATGGGGTGTATTGCAATTTCATGGAAGCCAATTTCGAAGTCCTGTTCGCTCCCTAATTTTGGTTTGTTCGGTAGGACATCGTCGCCACACTGAGTTGCAAGAAAATCAAAACGAAATCCTACGGCAGAGAGGGGCTTTAATGTTCCAGTATTACTGCTTTTTGGGTCGCATAATCGTAGAGGATCAAGTTGCCTCTAGTAACAGCTGCGAAAGGCTGTTAAAAATTTACTATTGTACTCTTCATACGTCATCTTGAATTAATACTCGACTTTATGGTATAAATACAAAATAGCTGAGCGACAATCTTAGTATCAGGCCTGAATAGTCACTAAAAATATTCCGAATTTGAATTTCGGTCAAGGAGCCAACTATGTTCTCACCAAGAAGGAACCAATACGAGAGCCCAAACGAAGGACAATTAATCATCATTTTAATTCGTTAAGATGTATCGTTTGCGATTAAAATTCTAGTGGCGATTCTAATTATACTTTTTCAAGGTAATGCTGTGAAGTCAAAGATGGCAAGCTGTTCGTAAATTAAAATTATGTCATCGATGATTGAAATTAGGTTAGTTACATGTCATGATTTACAGCCACCACAATCAGGACACCTGAGGAGAAATGTAGGTCAATATATGAATGCATACCTTTCCTTACCAGTATAACCATTGTTCAAGATTTAAGTTCATTAGAATGCAGTCCTGCGCATAACGAGTAAGAAAACAAACCACTCAGCTGAATGCTGAAGGCTGAATCATCAGCATAATTGTGTCCGCCTCTTAGCATTGTATATGTAGACTAGTAGTTTCACTCTAGCATTAGGAATGCATATGGAAATTTAACATATGGAAACTATATAAAGGGTTTTCCAATAAGAGTGATATAATTAAAAAAACACTACTGGTTAAGGAAATTCAAATGTTTTTCTTTTCGTACAATCGATACAATTAAGTTTAGAATATAACATCATTCAAATGACCACCACGACTACTTTGCAGGAACAAATTCGATGAACCCAATTTTCGAGTACTTTTTCCAATAACCAAGTCGTGTGTCTTGAATATCACGTTCAATATTGGCTTCTAAAGCTTGAAGATGTTCTGTTTTATTGCTAAAGACCAATGACTTCCAATAACCCCACAAGAAGTAGTCTAATGGTGATAAATCATAATACTGTTGTAGCACGTGTTGTGTGGCTCGTAGCCCCGTCTTGTTGTTAAGACCCACTTCTTCCAATTTTGGCCACAAAAAGTGGGATATTATCGATCTATAGCGCTCTACATTTACAGTAACGGTGTCACCAGCTTCATTTCGAAAGAAGTATGGACCGATGATTCCACCAGACCAAAAATCACACCAAACTGTCAATTTAGGTGAATGCACTGGTTGTTAATGAGTAATTTGTGGATTTTCTTCGCACCAGAAACGACAGATTTGTTTATTTACCGCACCACTCAGATGAAACTCAGCCTCATCGGAGAAGATGATTTTCTTAAATTAGTTGCAATTGGAAAACGATTATTTTGATAATAAAATTGAATAATTTTTAAACGTTGTTCTTACGTTTATCTTTCCACGATGAAAATGTACACATTACTGAATACACTGAAAAAAATATTACAGATCATGACATTAAAAATGGTCGAAACGGCACTTAGAAATCATATCATCCCTATTGGAAAACCTGATACATATATGTTTGTATATATGCATTATGTGACGTGATGCTGCATCTCGTTAACCAAATGTATATTTAAGGAGGAATTCAATTAAGAGTGGATATTTCGTGATAGACTGGTGTACGATCAATATAACCTTTTATTTTGCGAAATTTAATACAACTTTTGTACAACCATTTTTACTTGGTTTGTTGCTGTCGGGGCGTTTGTACAGTAAGATGGCGCCTTTAGAACAGATACAACGTTTCCCGAGGCTATCCACGGTTCCGAGCGTTTCGAACAATATGGCAGTAGAATTCAGGTAAAATACAAATTATACTAAATAATAAATGAAGTTGAATTGCAAACCATTTTCGATAGGTCTATATGTTCCCACGAGTAAACACACATACGAATGAACTTATATAAGTATATATATTATATATTCCTCAGACTTCATTTCGACTAACCTGTGGAAAAAACGACATGTTGACAACAAAAATAATATTCATAGTAAAAAAATTAAATATAAATTAATTCATAGCAAAACAATTAGCAAAACGTTACCAGTCGTAACGGCAGCGCATCACTAACAAATCAAATGCATGTGTGTGCTGCTTAAAGCGTTTGCTGGCAAGCATGCTAAAAATCATAAATACATGTAAAAAGTCAGCCATGGGTACTGGGGACTTGAAAAGTTTAAAAAGGGTAAAGCTTTCAAAAATTTTTCGACGGGAGATGAGGTAGGCGCCTCAGTGTAACACAAAACTGTTAGGATAAGGTTAATTTGAATCTTAGTTAAAACATTTTATAAGTTTTCGACTAACGGAGTTTTGTGGAGGTGGTAATGGTTGATTTCGTTAGTCGTGTCCATATGCAATAGCAACTCTCTTATAGAGCTAAGTAAACTATCTTAATATTATATTTACTCAAGTTATCGCTTGTACAGGCGGATAACCAGTCACAGTTTACATAAACATATGTACAAGTACATGTACCGTCGCTTTTATTTTATTTTTAACTTGATTTTTTTGTTCCTCGAATTTTGTTTCTAGTTTTATATGCTGATTTTGATAACATGGAATATTTTCATTTTGATTTTGAAAATTGTTCAATGCTCTAAGTTTAGTATATGTTTTGGGCAATCTTATCGAAGCCTTTTCATTTCAACAATTGGAAAGAGTAGGCTTTTAGTTTGAACAAATCATTGTTTTTTAAAACATATTGTATCAATGCTTTAAACATTTATATATATCCGTATGTAAATATTGTAGGTATGTATTAAGCACTATGTTGAAATTTTTGTGTAGCAGGTATATATGTATGTGTGTGGTATAAATCATAAATTTCAACAATTCTGTTCCTTTTTTCTGGAAAAATGAAAAAGACTAGGGCACCACAACTTTACTGTTTTATAAAACTTTTTATTGGGTACCACCACCAGGAAAAAGAAGATGTAATACATATACTTAAAATTGGATCAGTAGTGGCGTTTAGTAGAAGATTGGCATATATGATATATATTCTTAAAATATCTTTTTATTTCATTTATAGAATCATACTTTAACATAATGTAATTAAAAAATGCCATGGTTAAGTTGTACACAAAAATATTACACACTGAGACAGTAAAACTTAAAGAACCATAATAATATATTATAAAATATGATTCATAAAATAAATATTCTTTATTAGGCAAACTTTTCTTCTTTTTTTTTTTAATGTTTTCAATCGTTTATATTAATGTTGTCGTCTTCAAAATAGTCCCCATTCGATATTCTGCGCTTATGCTAATGCATCTTACAATCGTAGAAACCATTCTCAAACTTGATTTTAGCTCATACATACATAATGTAATCCATGCTTGTAAAACGACGGCTCTTTAAGGTTCTCTTTTTTTTTGTAAATATATACATATATGCGGATTATTGGAGGGTACTGAACGATTGCATAAATTTCTACCTTGAACAGGAAACAGGGTACATAAGTAAAAGTTTGTCAAGATGTTCGCAATATCCAAAAGGAAACATCAGAGACCCTATAAAAAATATATATTAGGTTGGCAAAACTTTTTTTTTACTGATTGACAGCTGAATTGCCAACTATCAAACATCAAAATGTGTTTTACATTTGGACTACGTCAGTAAACCTAAAAATTCAACTGAAGCCATCTATGAGTGAAATCCGAATGAAGCAATTACTTAGTTGCCAACCCAATATGTAAGGGATCGTCGTGACGAAGTCAATCGATTTAGCCATATCCTTTTGTCCGCCCACCGTCTGTATATACAAACAAGTCTTTCAGTTTATCCGATATAGATCTTAAACTTTGCGCATGTTCCTTTCTAACCAAGAAAAACTTTTTTTCGAAATACTTCTCAAACTCGATTTTAGGGATAGCCTTTTTCCGCGATTTTCATCCAGCTTGTAATGACGGTCCTTTAAGGTTTTCTTTACATTTGGAAGTTGGAAAAAGTCACACAGAGCCTTGTCTGGTGAATATGGATGCTAGGGCATCGTGAAAGTATTGTTTTTGGCCAAGAATTTTCATCTAACTTGTAAAACGAGGGCCCTTTAAGGTTCTCTTTATATTTGGAAATTGGAAAAAGTCACACGAAGCCATGTCTGGCAAAAATGGATTCTAGGGCATCGTGACACTAGTGTTTTTGGAAAGAATTCATGAACAAGCAACGAAGTGTGAGCTTCTAATAGACAAAATTCACCAAGCTCATTAAAACACATCTACTCTTAGCGATTGCTACAGACAAAGTAGGAAATTAATACAGCAGAACATTTTGTCGTAGTTGAGGCGCATGTATCTATGTCAACATAATAAAATAATTGATAAGCATTTACTATCAAAATGTTAGAGGTCTTAATGCAAATTAACCGGCTTGTATTTAAACAGTTCCAATTTTAATTTCCATATAATTGGATTTACAGAAACATGGTTAAAACCTCACATTTTTGATAATGAGATTTTAAACAGCGAATTTCAAATATTTAGATGTGATCGCCTGAACAGAATCGGAGGAGGTGTTCTATTTGCCGTACATTCCTCTATCCCATCTGAAGATGTTCTTGTTCCAGGAACCGACTCATTTGAATTTAAATGTATTAGAGTCTATGTTAATAGTTGCTTTATTTATTTAACCCTGTCTTATATACTCACCATTCGGA